ATATATATGTACACACATATATGTATATACACATACATACACACATACACAGACAGTTATATGTATGTATGTATGTATGTAGGTAGGTGGGTAGGTAGGTAGGTAGGTAGGTAGGTAGGTAGGTAGGTAGGTACGTATTCTTTCTGTATGTGCCAATTTCCATTCATCCAGCCCACTAGGATATCGACATACCCAGAGAGACAGAGAATGACAGAGAGAGACAGAGCGAACGAGCGACCGAGCCGCCGAGCGGGCACAGGCGCGAACCTGCTCTTGGATTTGGAGGAGACCGGACTCAGCGACGGGATGGTAGGATTCGGATGGATTTCGGATGGTTGGCCCGAAGGTCTTAGCAAGTCTTGGGGTCCGATGTAGTTGATGGCCGTGTTTGCATCAGATTTTGGATCTGTGATCTACGTTGTCCATACATTGTGGATGTAGATGCGATGGGTTGCAAACTTGTTCTGGGTGTTCTGGGTCTTTGGGTTTGACAGGGTGCACGTTCTCACGATGCAGTTGTGCTTGTCAGCAAGAGCTCATCATGTTGTTGTTGTCTCACTGGGAGTTTTTGCAACCTCTGAGCCGCGCCGCCATTCACAGTTCTATTCCGTGACCGGAAACCCCATTAGGTCACGGCCTTCCCCCGAGCATGGCAGTCGTACGTGCTGTTGTGCTTGCTGGGCTGTTGTTGGAGTGGATAGAGTGGCCAGTGTTTGCATTCAGTCACGAAGATACAGAATGTCGGACAGGGGAGACGGAGTTTCCTGCATTCCTCCAGATGGGGCTAAACCTGCAGTCTCTGCAGTCTGTGGGTGCAGAGAGCAGGGGTCAGGTTTCCACCCTACCAGCAGATGCACGCGGACGGGGTTTATGTCCCAGTCTGTTTCCAAGATGCGATTCGCTGCCTCAGATCTGCGAGAACAGCAGCCCTAACATGTTTCGACTGGGGACGGCCAGTGCAGGCAGTGCCCGCAATCCTGACAATCTGGTACTGGATTTAACAAACGCTCTCCGAGGTGGCAGGATCCAAATTCTGGTGATGGCATTATTTAAGCAAGGTGCATACACAGACGAGCAGGGGCTCTTGGCGGAGCGGGCCACTCCACTAGAAGACTCCAGCTCGCTACTGGAGCTGCGGCTGTCAGGAGACGGTCGGAGCGTGGACGTGTACAAACCGGTTATGGACCTACGGACTTCGGATCCGCAGTCGAGGCACGCTCTCCGAGCTGGAATTGGGAACGGGCTGCAAGCCTCCCTACCAAGGCTCCACTGCACAGGCGCAGCAGGCGCAGGCGCAGAAGATCGAATCATTGTGGACATGAGCAGCTTTCTGGAAATCGGCTTCTTCGTAGTTGACACCGGGGATCTCGGCTTCGATGTTACGGTCATAGAGGCCAAGGAGTTTCCCACCAACCTCGACATCACTGCAGACTACGGCCCCCGTGTGCCGCTGCTGCGCGTGGGCTACTCTGTTGTATTGCTGCCGGAGACGCCAATGGAACCCCGCGAAAATGACGATCGACTGCTGTATTTCGACACACAGTATCAAGACAAGGGCAGCCACAAGAAGAAGGCACGTGCGCTCTCTCAATCTAGGCTGAGCTGGGGTCATGAATGCCGTCAGGGGCTTCAGGAACCCCGCATGTGCCGAAGTGCCCCGAGGAGACAAAGCTCCTCTGTACATGGCTTTGCAGGCTCACCAGAAATTGAGCGAGACTGTGGACAGCCACATCTCCATGATCTGGAGGCCATGCATGCTGCAGTCATGGGTTGTCGATGTCTATTTCGAACTTTGGTGTGTGTGTGTGTGTGTGTGCGTGTGTGCAATGACACATTTTGCTACAGTTTGCTGCACGTGCGGCCTTGAAGCACAGAGAAGTTGTGGACTTCTGATCTGGGTCGCATCCCTCCAGGTATAATCTTCGACGGTTGCCGGGTCATACCATCCGCAACTCAGCCCAGAAGTGGTCAAGCTCGTTTCCCAAGTCGTCTTAAGCGCATGCTTCATGCTGGCGGTACGGAGCCTCGAGCATTGAAACACCCAGACACCGACTACACGCTGTGATCGTTGACATAACCAGCATGCAGCCCTGAAGCTGCTGCCGAAATTGCTGGTGCCGTCGTTGCAATCGATTTCCAGCCAGACTCTTGTCACGGCGACAAGGGCTCGGAATTGTCATTGAGGGGAAATCGGGTCTGAAAGACTGAAGGACCTAGCGCAACTGGGCGCGCATGTCGGGGCGTGAAGCATCGGCAGATTCGGGCATGCAGTCACTGCTCCGTTGATGCCCGCGCTCGAGGCTTCTATGTCGACCCAAGCGTGCCTGCGAGATGGCGGCCCTACTTCAAGACGCTCAGACACAGAGCTGTTGATTATGTGTGGTGCCCTCAGCCCCTGTCCCCAGGAAGGGCGTGGAGGCTTGGAACGAGGCCTTCACTTTGATCGAGCGGCCGCAAGCTGTGCGAGCGATGCTGCCGGAAGACGAGGAGCCCGTTCTGCAAGGTCATTGTAGATCCAAGGAAGAATTGGGTTCGTAAGTCCGTAAAGCCAGTCAGCCATGCATCATTGTGAGCATGTTCTTAAATCTGTGATTTGAAGAATCAGAAGCGAAGTGAAGATGAGCTCAGTTGTGGGAGCCTCATGGACGCAGGATTGGCCAGCTGACTATGACATGTCCGACGCTCGCTTTAGTGCGATCACCTGGGACACTTCCGAGGCCGGGGCCGGGAGGTCTGAGACTTTCGCCCGGCTTTCGTTTGGCTGGGGGGCGCACCCGAAACCCATGCCCGAGTGTACACTGCGCTCCAATCAGACGTGTCTTGACAGGAAACTCTCAGCATGGGCATCGCGAAGGCGGGGAATGCCAATCAGTTGTTCGCACTCTCTCTCTCTCTCAAATCGCAGTTGGGGAATGATCAAATCATTTTCTTGTCTCTTTCCGGTTTCGAGTGAAAGAAAGCCTCACAGGTGGATCCCAGAAGCGGGGAGATCCTGAAGTGTGACGTGATCATGGGGGACTCTTGGGTGAAGACATACCTCGACGAGCTCGAGGCACGGCTGCGATGTGCCAAAGATACATTCCCAGACCCTCGCCATTTGCATTTGCAGATGGAGTTTGTGAACTTCACGAACTTCCTCAGCAAGACGCCCTCGGTGTCGGTGCTCTTGCACCAGGATTTGGTCGAGCCCGGCCAGACCTCGACCCGCAGGACCCGCAATTCGGAAGCCTCGTTTCCCAGCCGCCTAAGCATCGTCACTCAACTGTCTCTTCCTGCATCCTGCAACCCAGAGGATCCTCGAGCTGCTGCAGCAGGGTAGCACGGACCGGAAGTCTCGCAGTTTCGGCTTTGCTGCTGTGTCTCTGGCTGGGTTAAGGGTGCACGAGAGTCAAAGGGTTGTCTGTGGGCGTACACAGATTCTGAAGCGAGTCGTGTGGAGGGAATAGCTTCCGACACCGCTCCACGGTCTTCAAGGCCTACATGCAGAAGCGGCTCCGGCGCAGCGAGCTCGAGGTGGGCGTCTTGAAGTCGATGTCCGCATTCCTCTCCAGTATGCCAGTAAAGCGCAGAAGCTTGATGCCGACGGCTCCGGAGCGTCCTAGACTCCACATGCTGGAGTTAACTTCCGCGCGAACCATTTTTTCAGGGCTTCTGAAGCGAGTCTGCCTCTGTCACATGCGAACGTTCAGAGCTGAAGATTTAGTCGTACCTTCCACGGGCGCCAAGTAAATCAACCCGAGACTCCGACGTCAGGTGGGCAGAGGGAAAAGGGGCCGTGACAAAGACATGCCAATCGTCTTGCTGGTTTCCTGCACAATGCAGCATTCGGACATTTGCTGGAGGCGCTGCTGGGCTCAGGGCTGCAGGAGATCGTGACACACGAGGCACTCTACGGACTCTGTTGAGCCAGAGGCAAACAGGTTTGTCCTCGCATTCGACATTCGCGACGAAGTTTCTGCAGGTTCCTGAGACAGGGCCTGGGGCAGAGGATAAATTACACTGAGCGCCACAACTTCCCCCAGATAGCCACTGGCATTGTGCAGGTTGGTCACTGCTTGGGATTGCGACACAACTTCAAAGGCTCCATGGGAGTCAGCCGTCACCTCAATGCAGGGTTTGATGGGATGTGCTTGAGGAGACTTTGACATGCAAGACCTCGAAGAGTATGGCTCTTCGCTTTTCCGCATCTTGTTTCCTTCTGACACGAAACAGGAGAGGCTTACCCAAATGCAGCTAGATCCCCAGTCTCAAGCGGGCTGCGGGATGCTGTATTGGGGCTCTTGTGTGCATATGACATCTTGGCAGCGAGAACGCTTAAGGCCACGAGTGCCTCCGGGACCTTCATTGCACGGCCGTTCACGGCACCACCGTGCCTTGGCAGACTCTGCTTCCACTTTCCGGGCAGATCGCAAGGATTGTGGGTCTAGACAGGCAAGCTGTTGGGACGAGACTTGTATGTCGCTGCCCTATCTCTTCTTTACCTTCCGATCGAGGCCAGCGTCATGGACTATGTGCCGGTGAACCTCCCGAGACCTGGGGATTCGCTGACGCACGTTTGGACGCTTGGCCGCTACACGAGGCAGAAAGTAAAACCAAAACCAACCTGGCGTGGCTCAATGTGATGGCGGCGGTGCAGTGGTAGTAGCAGCAGCAGGAGCGGTCGTAGCAGTTGGAGTCGTCGTAGCAAGTCGTAGTCGCAATCCCTGTCTCAGTCACAGCCGCCGTGGTCGTCGTCGTCGGAGTACGTAGCAGTAGTTGTCGTTGCCGTCGTCGAGGGGTGGTGGAGGTGGTCGTGGAGGTAGTGGTGGTGGTGGTGGCGGTGGTGGTGGTGGAGGTGGTGGTGGTGGCGGAGGAGCAGGAGGAGGAGCAGCAGGAGGAGAAGAACCAGCAGCAGCAAATGAGATAAATGCAATCATCACCGCCAATCATGTTAACAGCTGCAGATAGGAGTGCTATCCAAGCCAATCGGTGGACTTGACGAGAAGGGAAACATAGCACTATCTTTCTGAAGTTACAGTGTCACTAGTCGGAACAACGGGAGTATGAAAAGCAACAGTACTTGTACTGTATCGTTGTTCGCATTTGCAAGTTTTGTTCTTTCTACGTTCTCGCAGTCCGCATCATGGCCAAGACTAGGTCCCCGACTATCGGCGAGTACGACAAGCTGGCCATCCGGTACGGATACACGCACATACAGAGCCTGGATGCTAGCACCGAAGAAATCCTGGAGGACCCGGAGCTCGAAAGATCTCGAAAGCCGCGACTAAGGGAGTTGGTTCACTGGTTCACCATCTCTTCAAGCGCCGACAGTGCAGGAAGTCCGCAGGCGTGCCGAAGGCATCCAAACCTGCTATGACGATGATCTATATTTGGGCGAAGATCCGTTCCTGAGTCTCTCAATAGCCTGATGTTTTGTGTTTATGCTGAATAGAGAGGCTTCGACTTTGAGCTATGTGAGGTCTTGTTTGGATTATGACCTCTCTGCCGACCCTGTGCACTACTGGGACCAACAGCTGGATCTCTACGCAGACATCCAAAATCATCTGCTGGAGATGTCGGTTGCGCCATCAGAATCCTATAGCCTTTATGGTAAGGCAGTGCACTCTGTCGTCGGTGGGTTCCTCCCGGAGATAGGCATCAATGCGGTGTATTATCTCGGAGGGATCAACAACACCTACCTGCACAAGTACACTGATCAGACCCGGCGATCAAGGTTGGATGCGTTGTAGGCAGTGAGGAGGGAGGCATCCTGTAACAGAAAATGTAGCAAGCTCCTTTCTTCTCGGGGAGTTGTGGGTACGTAGGGTGGCCTGGGGCAGAGGGTTCCGTGCAGCATCTCACAGCTCTAAGCCGTCTCGCAAGTGTCCCGTGAGGCAGCCGATGCCAGCGGAGACGCAGCGGCGGGCACTGGCTGTCATTCTCCGTATTTTGCGCCCGAAGACAGAGGGCTCCTCAGGCTCAAGAACTTCGTAGCCGAAGTGGCTGCAGCGCGCACGAATGCAATCTAACTATCGAATTATTAGCAACATCGCCTCTTCCTTTCCATCAGACGCCTTCTCATCAGTAGGGTGCCGATGGACCAGGGGGCCTCATTGCACATCGATATCCTATGGAAATGCATCTTGGGGAAACAGCTCCCCAAAACCAGAAAGGCCTGAACTGTGAAGTTTGTAGATGCCCTCGCCGTCGACTTGAGTTGGCAGGCAACCGTTGGAATTGGAGAGTGTGTGGGATGGCTGATGCACCACCACTCTGCACTCTGCACTAAGGATTGCTCCCGCCCGCACCCGAGCTGCAACAGATTTGTTGGTCTTGAATGCGCCGTGCTAGCGGGTGAGTGCGCGAGCTTTGTTACTGCTCGGCCAGCACTGTATCCCAACAACGAGCTGTGATGCTTTCTATGCAAAAGCCTCTGCCCGACGACAAGATCTGAGGATGCCAACCTGCCGTACCTGGTGGATGGCGACCAATTGCAGGGTGTCGGTTGGCCTTGATAATCTATCAGTGTAGCATTTGTAGCCGACAAGTGTGCAGGTGAACCTTTGGACGAACGCCGAGTAGCATAAGATGCCAATAGCTTGAAGTGCAGACTCGACATATTGGGCTTCTCGACACCGTCGATGCGAAGTTGCAGAGAAATGCGGCCGGGAAAGTGCTGCTTTCATTTCTCGTGGGGCTTCACTTGGTTGCAACACATCATCATGGTCAGAGTTCTTGGCCTCGTTTCCCCGGTTCCTTCTTCGTCTGGCGACCGTTTCACGCTCGAACTAGTGCTTAGGAAGTCGATGCAGAAGCATGTATTTAGAGTGCAGCAGTCACACCGTAGTCCCTATTGCGGCATCTGCAGCCAAGGCCATCGAGAGCCTGGACCTCACAGGTCTCGTACGCCGGCTGCGAAGGCTCTTGCTGGAGGCAACAGCTCCTCGATGTTACTTTCTCTGCGGTGCCGTGTCTTGAAGACACGGTCGTGGCTTCAGGTCCTCAGTCTTCACCGTAAAACGGAAGGGCTTACGGCTGGATTGCTCGCACAGGAAGCTCTGCGCTCCGAGCGACTGCTGCAACTTCACAAACAGGACAGCGACAGCCCATTGCCCCACAGCGAAGTAGCCAGTGCTGTGGAGTTCTGCAAGCACTTGGTTAGAGCAAGCACTTTCAGACGTTTTCCTTCCTGCTTGTTTCGAAGCTCCCTGTACCTTGGGGCAGGCGCACAGAGACAAAGTATTGCATCTAGCACTGGTAGGGGCCGTGGGGTGTAGAGGTTGTTCTGTAGACTGTGCACGAATTGAAAGGAGACCCTTCTGATCCCCGGAGAGGCGGAGGTCTTCCCCGTGTCGGAGTTTCTGTCTACTCTCGTTTATGGAGTCATGAGCGCAGGGCTCGACAGGATCGCCTCTGATGACGAACGGGATCTTCAGCGGATCTTCGTGCAGATTTTAACTTCCAAATTTACAGCACAAGCAAAGGTCCTCCCCGCGGAAGTCATGACTCAACTGCAGTATTTCCACAGCTTCGTTTATGAGATGACCGAGGGTGCTTTAGATCGTCTTCCCACCACGTCCCAAGGGGCCGAGTGGGCTTTCTGTGCAGCTTTCAACAAGACCTGTACCTGCACTGGTCTTGTCCGCGTGAGGCTGGCAAACATTAGTAGCTCTGGGCAGTGGTCCGGTACAGACAAGGCATGCCTTCCTTCGCACTTCGCGATCAATGCCTCGACAGATTCGCAAACCTCCTGGTGTGAGTGTCTATCCTTGACGAAGACGGATCTGGACCAAAGAGAGGCTCAACGATTGCATGTGGAGGCGCTCAGGCACATGCTTAGGCCGAGGCACCGTGCCTTGGAGGAGGAGTGAAGATGGGCTTGCCTAGCTGCCTAGCTATACCGTCTCTACCGGCTACACCTGTACCCGAGAGCTCCTGAATCAGTGGTGCGGCCAAGAAAGAGACGAGCCTCTTCACCCTTTCTTGTCGGAAGGGCTTCGGGACGCCCTTTCTTGGGATCATGTTGTTTGATCTCACAGCACTTGTTCGTCCGATGTATTGTGCTGTACCTTCAGATGTAAGAGGGTTTCGGATCCTGTGACATATATTCCGGGAAGCATCCAGAATGGAGATTCTTGCGTCATCTTGTATCCGAGTGGAACAAATCGACTCATAGGTGCAGCCTACAAGCACGGGGCCGTTGTGCGTCCCGAAATCCCGTGGGGCGACTTCAGGTTGCCTTCAATTTCCAACGAAGCAACATGAAGGGAACAACCATTCCAACATTGGGGGTTGAGGGAGACTTGATTCGTTGGTCACAATTTAGCCTATTTCTGTAGCGATCGCCGAGCAGTTGCCATCACCCGTCAGCGCCCAAAGCCCTGCATCTACTGACGCGGTGCCAACGTCGGTGCGCAAGCGTCACCTGACAGTGTCGTTGAAAAATGCCTGCCAAGAACTTGTAGACTGCATTTGTCGTGGCTCATCTTCCCCAGGAGGAGTCCGCGGTGCAGACTCAGATCCTTCAAGACATGTGGCGCTCTAAGTGGAACGTTTGAAGGGACAGCTCTGTGCCGTGCCCAGCCGTCGTGCAGCCCTTGCCTTGCAGTTCAGGAGTGAGTACACGGCACACATCGTTCAGGAGACGGTTCCAATCTTAGCCGGGACGAGGGAAGTCGAACGGTTGCGTGAGTTTGGCCTTGGGTCGAGCCGCCGGAAACAAAACCACCTGGAAGGGCAAACCCTACACGACTGCGGCTTGCACTTATGAAGGGTCCAAGCATGTGGGTTTCTTGGAGACCTCGCGTTGGAGCGACGTCGCCGAGGATGACTTGGACCCCTCGAAGATCCAGCTTCACCGGCCTGGCCGAGTGATTGAGCTTCCCAGCGGAGAGCTCCAGCTGGACTCCAAGCGAAGGGGTCCAATGTGGCTCGCAGTGAATTCAAGCCTGCCGACAGGGGCTCCTGCCGATAAGGGTCTCGAGATGTCGCGAGGCTCAGACCATATTCAGTGGACGAGTGCGGAGCTCAGCCGGCAGAGTCAAGGCTTGCGGAGTGCAAGCAGATGCAAGCAGACCCGTCTCTTTACATGATGTGTAAGACTGTAAGACTGTGCCGTCTCGGAGCATATGCGGCTCAAATAGCTCAGAACCGCACATCTTTTTAGGATCAGTAGGACAGACTTTGTGAGGTCCTTAGACATCGTTAATACGGGTTGCTCAGTGAAGGAGTCGCCTTTTGCCTGCGAGCGATGGCTTTCCAGGATGCATTTTACTTCGACAAGAACGGCTTGGGCATCCAGATTGCATCAAAGCAACCCAAAGTTTATGGAAAACTGCAACGGACTAGGCACTGGGCACCTTGCTTATCGAAATCGCTGGCGGTTCAGTATTTAGCATCGCAGCGTTTTGGCCGAACCCCGACTCACTAGCGATCCCACTCCGTCGTCGTGCACACCGCACTCCATGCCTTGGCCTGGAATCCTCAACCCTTCCGAATGCTTGTCTTGTAGATTTCTTGTTCCGGAACACTACTGTGCCCTGACCCTCGTAAAGCATGGTTTCCTGTTCGTACGGCATGGGTCCCTGGGTGCGCGTGCAAACTCTGCCTGGGAATTTGGATTGAGAAATGCTGAGGCTTGCCGGAAGACCTGCCCTTTCCTCTTGACTCTTCTCTCTACCGGGAGATAAATGTCGGCGATGCCCTGGACGAGCGCGCGCCAGAGTTGAATGCTGTTTTTTTGAGGCCTCGACTGGTTGAGGTGACCCCGACCCGTGCGACTTTGGGGTTGCCGAACACCCTCCTCACGTCACAGCATCAGCATCCAGGTCCTAGCTCAATACCTTGGCCCAAGCCTGGTGATGGGGAGCCCCGCCACAAGGCAGTGAAGGTGAGCAACGCTCACAGGAACCATCGGAAGGTTGCACCACGGCGACACCACCGCATGGGACGGGGTGCCTTTGACTTCACCGTTGTGTTCTCCGGGTATGACCACGACAAACATGCGGACTTCGAGCTCGTGCCACGGGTCATCGGCAAGGGTGGCTGCAACATGCTTCCTTTCCCGCGCATGGGTGCCTCTGCTCGCGTTTGTGGCCAAGGTAGCGGACTTAGTGAGAGCGAAGCGAATGCTGGCACTCATGGTGAACCAGATGATAGACTGCAGCTAGTAGTCTGTTGCAGCACGTCGCTTGGAAGCACTAATCACAGCGAAGTCAGCCCTAGCTCTAGCCTGCTATACCTCCCTTTCGTAACCCTCCGAGACCAGAATAGAATGGGCAAGCACTCTTGCTCGACACCCAGGAAGGATGTCATGGACGAGGCCATGCAGTGGGCACAGAATTTCCTCGGCGAACTTCGAACTCATTTCCGCCGCTTTTGTCGAACCTTCGGCTGCAACTGTTAGTAGACTTAGTGTGATGTTCATAGCTTCTGCGGCACACACACCATCGGAACAGAAAGTCTCCATGCTCTTCTTTGCATCGGAAGCATTTCTTCAGTATATGTGCCTTGTCCAGTTGACGAGCAAGCATACTCCTTCTGAGCTTGCTGAGGCAAGAAGGGCTTCCCTTGCCCCGAGTTGTACTGCATGTACAGCCGGAGCGACCATGACTGACAGGGCCCAAGTCAATTCCAGGTGATCCCCTCACAGGGGATGCGGTCAAGACCGACGAGTTAAATTCTAGGATGCTCCTCGTGAAGCTTTTGAAACTTGAGGGGATCACTTCACTTCTCAGCTCTCCTCAGGTGCTTGGCCCTGAGGAAGCTGCTAGAACACACAGCGCGTGGATGAGTAAGATGTTCTTACCGATGGCAATCACAGCCCAGAGCACGCACTTGAAGGTCAACAGGTCGAATATCTGTGCCGAGTCGTGATGTTAGGGGTCACGGGCCTGTCCGCGGCTGTGGCTGTTTGAAGTGCTCTTAAGCCATCCCTCCCCTTGCAGATGCCAGTCTGCAAGGTAGGGTCAGTGCCACAAGTAGCCTGACTCTCCGTGGCATGGCACACCGTGGGAGTCTTGTCGCGCGAATGCGGTTGCTCGACTAAGTTTGCGGTTTGCCCACGGAGTCATGGCACACCCAGAACCGCGACATTTGTTTCAATTGCCCGTATATTACCGAATTCGAGCCGTGCTGCGGTCAGGTGGGGGCAATGTCCGAAACCCCGAGTTGGCCCCTGGGCAGACACTCCGGAAAAGCCTTGATAGAGAGAGTCGCCCACTGGCAGGCCTAAAAGTCGGGTGATGGGGTTCTGTGTTTTCCTCCATTCATGGTGACAGCTGGCGCTGACAGGCTCGGTTTGGATCAATCGGTTTTTTCCGCACAGGAACAGCCTCCTATGAAAAGGTGCGGAACGCGAAGGATGAAGCGGGCTTAATGCCTGCCACCAATTCATATCCGCAATGCGATCTGCAGGTCTGCTAGCCGCCGGCCTGCGGATGGAAAACGGGAAGCTGCCACAGGTAAGTATGCTTTTGTTCCGACAGGCATGTTTCTTTTCTCCCATTGATCCGCATTATTGTGACTTTCATATCTGCTGCCTTACGACCCTTACGATTCTGTTTGTGTAGTCGGAGCTTCTCTCTCATTGAGTGCAAGTGCATGGAAGCGCTTGGATGCGCCGCCTTGTGATCGGCTGGTCTCAACTGAATAAACCGTTTGCGATCTGAGTTGCCAACGGTTGCTAGACAAGTGATCTCACAAGTTGCTGGCATTTTTCGTGGGACCCTGCCTGGATTTGCTGCCCTCCAGTTCCGGTGGTAGCACTGGCTCTGCTCTGCGGGATAACATTCCCGGGGCCTTGTGCCACGCATGTTCCATTTACTGCAGCATGCCATCATGTGAACATGCCGAGAACGGCTACGGCCATCGGCAGATCAACATCTCTCCAAACTCTCTGCAGTTGTGGAATCTGGCACAGGCCTGCGCTTGACATGTTCCGTTTCGAGCGCTACTTGAGACACCGTGAGACATAGTGAATGGTGGAGGAGTCTGCATTGGAGTGCGAAAAAGATGCCGGCACCTTTTTGTGCGCCTACCTGTTTGGGGGAACCCTTTTTCCGGCATGTCTCAGCATTCGGGCCAGCGCTCTTCTGGCAGACCGGAGTAGCAGTACTCGACGTCAGATTGCCGAGGCAGTCCACTCAAGTCATTGAGACTGATCTGCTGAAGGCCCGATTTGCAAAATCTTTCTGCATTTTGGAGGAAGCCCGAAGACTATCCGCTCTGCGCTTGCTTGTCTGGAGATGGAGCTTGTGGTACAGTGCCCACGAGCCTCCAATATCGACAGACAATGCTTGCAGCGCATGACATTTTTCGGATCTCTGACTTGGCAGCAGAGGATTGGTGATTTGGGGCCGCCTTGGTTGGTCTTTTGCGATTTCTCCGCTAGTCTATAGAGGGGTGTCCTTTCGCGCAGGTGGATCACGACGCACCAGTCAAATACCGTACGCCTCAGCCCCATCGCTCTTGCAACTCGGAGCTCGCTGGGTAGCATCTGTATCAGGTCTGACGACATGTTAGGGAGTCTTCTTGCGCGGCAATTGCATGTTGCACCACAGACCTCGCATTTCTCGTCTTCAAGGCCGACGCTGCGCAACATCTTGGCAAACTTCCAAGGTGATCCGTTAAGCCGCTAAGAGTGCACGGGGGTCGTCTTGGGTTGCTTTTGGCTCAGCGGCGTTCATCAGTTGAGGCTAACAGGCGGAATGTGTCGGAATCCTGCCGTGCTGCACCGGCTTGGGGCTCCCAAGTCTGCAACGCAGGTCGGGAAGTGAAGAAGATGACTGTGAAGGACCAGGGCTGCAGTGTTGTAAGGCTGAGGGGTGTCAGCTCCGGGCCAACAGCAAGTTTAAATGAGAAGCCGACGGAAAGCAGAGGCGGTCTCAGTGAGGTCCCGGAGCAGTGAGCGGAGAGAGGAGCTTGAGGCCGAAGTTGACAGATTGTACACGGCCAAGGCAGGGCAGGGCGGCAGGGCCTCAAGAAAATCGGCTCCAAACCGCAACTCCTTTGCGCTCTGAGGCAGCCGCAGACTCGGAAGCCGACGCAGCACCGGCTTCAGCAACTTTCGAACCACTTGCGACAGGGGGGGTCGAGTGAATCAGGAATTGCAGCCGACATCAGTGCACTGAGCATGCATGCACAGTAACCCGATGACTTCTGCAGATGTGAAGCCACGCCCAGTCAACATCCTCCGGGAAGTGCAGTGTCCTCCGTAGCTGGGTCATGCTACATGCAGCCTGTCCAGTTGGGCTCGACTCTCGACTGATTCGTGACGCACGCTAGGTTGCTGAGGAAGCCAGGTTCAGGTACTGCAATTTTCTCTTCTCTTTTCGCAGGATGCGCAATGAAGCATGGGCTTCTTGACTGCATTTCGTTGCCCGGGCTTCTACATTCAGTGCCGAAGGCTCACCTTCCTCGCTCCGAACTGCCAGCGTTCGTCGTGGAGTACTACTTGGAGCAGTGCTTCCCTCAGCCATCATGACGCTTGTGGAATGAACTCCATAAAAGACAGAGGGCATGTCACGTTCCATAGATGCAAATTCGACATGCAAGGCTCGCGAAGTATGTGCGATACACCTCAAGCCTTTCGAGGACCCTTCACCCTGACCCGTCAATCCGCATAATGGCATCATCCAGCGCTCCTGCACTGACACAGATCGGTTCGGCTGGGCGGGATCTTGTGCACTTATTTCAGCCATGCTTTTCCGGCACTTCCAGCACGGGTGGCTGTTCGTCGGAAAGTGTTGAGAGTTGAAGAGGGGCTTAGTCTTGTTACAGATTTGCTTGGCCATTTGCGGCTTCCATGTGTCGGGTTTCCCAAGCATAGCGGTTCAATACATTTCAAGACTACAAAACGCCAATTCGGGACCGCAGGCTGGGCACCGTCACTGCAGCGCAGGACCTGCAATTTTTCGGGTTGCCTAAACAATCCTAGATAGCTTTGAGGCTCTGGCCCACTCTAAAGGTGATTTTCGGCTGTTGCGCTTGATGGAGGATTTGCTGCTTCCATGCCTAGCAGATTTCGGTAGATGAAAAGAGCGAGACAAAGAGAGCAAGGCCAACATCGGTAAAGAGAGATTCAGGAAAAGAGTGGGAGCAAGAGATACCTTTAGAGCGAGAAACAGCGAGAGAGCGAGAGAGGGAATGCAGAAGGACAAGTACTTAGAGGACGTTGACCGCAAGACAGCCTCGCTAAAGGATGCCGTGAAGCTGCTAACAAGGTACAGCCGGGGGATTTAGGTATAGTCGTGTCGAACTTTTCCTCGTGCGTGCTACGAGCAGTTGTTTTGCCTTCCAAGCCTCTCCTCCCTGATCTCATAGTATCACCTCAGAGCAGCCACACCAGTGGCTGTGCGCATGACGCACAGGCGGGGAAGCCACGGCTCTCCCTCCTTACAGTCCGCAGCAAGCAGGCAAGAGAGAGGAAGGATAGTAGCTGTTTTGGCTCAAGGTGCCTGCACCAGCGTACTGTGCGAGGACGACCTGCTCTGCGTTTGCTTGCGGGGGGGATACTCTCTCCTATGCCGTGGACGTTCTACCGCCCTGTTCTGCGCGCCATGCAACTGAAGTCAGTGCCGCCACGCAACAAAGATCGTCCCACAGTTTGTTGCACTATTCCACGAGGAACGACCTAGAGAGTGTCGAGCCGACTGCGACGCCCTCAGAAAAAGGTTGGGAGTGACATTGCCGGGCGAGGGACATTGATTACTACCTGGTCCTGCCAGAGGCAAGGAGGGCGAGCCTGTGACCCGGTTGGACCACCACCCCAAACCGGGGAAGAAACAACGCACGCAAACGAAACAAGGGAGATACACGTGGGTGGTTCAGGGCAAACCTGAGCAGGCGAAGGGGCCCTACGTGCCCTGCAGTTCGTTGGATGCCTTAAAGGTGCCCCAAATTTTTCCCATGCAGCAGGGATCCGAACAGCTTTCTTGTTGCCTAGTGCGGTTCTCGCTGTGGTTACATCCCTCAAAGATCTGCCTTCCTCTTCCACAATTCAAGGAACATTCCTGGTCTTTTTTCAAGTTAGCTAAAGTCTTTAAAGACGGGCCGCGGGAACCTTCCGTACGTCTCTTCTCGAATGAGCTGCCTCTCTGCGCCCCGTCTTCAATCCTGTCTTCTGGGCCACACTGGTTGCTTTGATATGCGCGAGCCAAAGGGCTGGAGCCCCCAACTTTGTGTTGCATGTGCATCTTACGCCGATGTGCCAGAAGCCCAACTGCAGTCCGCAGTCGCGCATAATTACCTATAGTTTCTCAGGGAGTTTCACCCTGTTTTCCTTTTTTGACTGCATGCTGTCCAAACTGTGCCTGAACAGCCGTGGTGCAATCTTGCTTTTTTCTACGGGAGACTCTATCCGTGACACGAGGTGTGTGTGTGTGTGTGTGTGCGTGTGTGTGTGTGTGTGTGCCAACGTTTGCCAATCCACGCGACAACAGGAACTGGGGTGCTCGTCCTCGTAATTCGTCCACTGCATGAATGTCCGGCTGCGGCTTCATGTTGTGTCAGAGTGATATAATCGCCGGGAGTCCGATGACAAGGTAGGTTGATTGAACAGGGGAGAAGCAGCAAAAACACAGACGGCTGAACCGAACAAGGAGATGTTGAAGAATAGATGAAGAAAACATGCACAAATTTCTGCCAGAAACAACACTCACTGCCAACGGAAGCGGGCAACAACATTTGCGAGGACGACGTGGTATGATGTGGGGATCAAGCCTTGCAATAAGAAAGCAAGGTGCAGACAGACACCGGTCGAAGGATTCAGAGGCAGAGGTGCAGAAGAATAAGAAGAAGATAAGAAGAACAAGGAGAAGAGAGAACGCGAGGGAGAGAGAAAGAAGGAGAGAGCCGGCTGCGTGCATGCCGCGTGCGGGAGTACCCATGAGTTCACTCCTCTAGGGCCGGAAGCAAGCAAGGGGGAGAACCCCTCACAAGAAAAATTCTGGCTCAAGCCGTGAGCGTTTCAAGCCAGGAGCCACACAGAAAAAGAGAGGGGCTCAACCCGGGCACTTTGAGAGAGACTGTGCGAGGGAGAGGCTGCGATTGCCAATGCGCCCTGCGCGCTCTACTACCACCACTGTCTGCGGGGGGCACTTTGCGAGTACCTTCCGCGCCGCCTTCGAGGACTTCGGTGGGTTCGGAGCTGCACGGTGGCCTTGCACTGCTTCTTGAAGGGGATTATAACAACCCTTGCCGACGACGGAATGAGCCACGGGGGCGCGACTCACCGGGACGACCTTGTGGGAAGCCGACTACTTCTACTACAAAGCCCAATATCTCTTGTTCGGCGCTGAGAACAATGTCTTTGCCATCGACAGCGACCGTGGCAAGTGCGTTTTGAACAGTGGCAACCAGCCTTAGCCACGTTGGCAGCACCACCACAGAGGTGCCGACTTGCTTGGCTCACGTGGAGGATAACCCGGACCTTCAAGAAGAAGGCAACCCTGGAAAACGGGATCGGGGTGGACTTCCTGCTGTCATTTTGCAAAAAGATGCGCTGCTCACAGCGGTACAGCGGCAGCAAGAGGACCTCAAGACACGCATCGGGGCACTTGAGGCAAAGTTGCGCACATAGGGGGCATCCACGACAGCTTCGACGGCGTGGAAGGACCCGCAAAATCGTCAGCCGGCCTTGGTGTTCGGAGGTTGGGACCCGCAACAAACCGTCTCCGCCGTGTTGCTTCTGAGTACTCTCCTCTTAAGGCCAGGGCTGTATGTTTACTCAAGGTTCTAGCAGAGTACGGTTTACAGCTGTGCGCCTGTAGTACAAAGAAACTCCTGCGTTGCCTGTGTTCTTGTGCGCTTTGCGACGGGGAAGAGCCCAAGTTACATCTCATGGGGGGATCGGGGAGGGGGGAATTGGGGGGCATGAGGACGTACTGTTTAAGAGCACACCATTTCACTCGGTATTTATAGTACTTTCGCGATGATGTCCGTTTCCGTTCGTGAAGCATCAAAAAGGGGTCCGCTGACGCGCTTGGGAGAGGGCGGCCCTTCTTCAAGCCCGCCTAAAGACAGAGCGAGGGAGACAGAGAGAGAGAGAGAGAGAGCCGAGAGAGCTGCAGAGAGAGTTCACCCGAAAGAGCAACCGAACAAATCAGGGTTCATTACAAGCGGGGACGTGCCCTGGGCCTGCATGTGCCTTACGCCCAGGCAAAAACAGGCACCTACAGTAGCAGGCAGCCAACTTGATAGCCATTTGCCCTTGAAAGTAAACCGAAGCTAGGAGAAGCTGTGCAGCATCATGGCCTGCATCCGCACGGCGGAGCGAACAGCACAGTTGACGCCACCATCTTTGAAGGCAAGCCCCTACTCGTAGTTGCAACGCTGAGCAAAATAATGCCATGCAAAGTACAGAGACATTAGTTACTTGAGAGCGTCCTTAAGTCTGTCAGTTAGAACTTTCCAGGGTCTTCAAGGGTTTGCTCATCGTTACCTGGTCGGTGTCTACTGTACGTGCCACCTCTGTGCACTCGCTGCTCTGACTTACGGTGCACTTGCGCTCGCTGCATTGATGGTGGGAAGCTTCACCATTGAATGGCACACCCCAAGCCCAAGATGTTGGCAACCTTCAAACCGCTCAAGTTTAACCCTTAGACAATAAGAAAAACTCAGTGCCACCGCTCTGGCAGCTGCCCGTGCGAGCAAGGCAGCAACATGGGCTTTAAAAGGAAAGCCCTTCGGCATCAGACTTGATGCAGCCACTTGCAGGAGCAATCACGTAGTGGGCAGATGCCACTAAACGGCTCGTCAGAAGGAGCAGGCTTCAGAATTCATGGCCAAACCATGCCAAGACTTAACTATTTGCAGATAAACAGTAGCCATAACAACCGGGATCGTCTGCACGCCTCATGTAGCCAGTTGACGGAATGGAAAGCTGTGGTCTCGCTGAACTTCCGATCGTTCCACATGCTGCCAGGTTCAGCTCTTCGCGCGGTTTCTGCAATACTGCACAAGCAATCAGGCCTTTGGCAGCGGGGTGCTACGTGCCAGAGTCGCGAAATGTAGCATCATACTAGCTCTCGGACTGTCGCTCGGAGGCGCTGCCTCTACCGGTCCTGGATGTCGCATTGCGCGTCGTTGCCACGGACAGGGACTGATCGGGCACTGGTCGCAACGTTCTTGCCCGACAAGGGCTTCATAATCATTGCAAACTAAACCCGGTAAGCCGGGCAAACCAGCTCTTCTTGTTTTGAGAAGTCCCAGGAATCTAAGGTACAGGCAGCCTAGACTTCATCCTTCTCGTGACCCTGAGTCCGATGGTTGAGAGTCTTCCCTTCTGTTTAGGGGGATCTTGTGGTATGATCCTCGTCTGAAGAGCCCTCTTTTGAGACCCTGCAGGCAAGGCTTCGTCCTGGTCTAACCTTATAACGGTCGAGCGCAGGTATGCCCAACCCATTCTCTTGGCACAGCTCAACACAAATTGACGCAACTGGCGCACTCAGCGTATTCATGCACAATCGGCGCAACCTTTAAATGACACAATTTGGCTCAGGATCGGCCCTGCTTGTCATGATTTGAAGCTGTCCCTACGTTCGTAGAGCATCGTGGAACTAGGCATGACAGGCGTCGGGGCTCCAGGAGCGTGTGCCATAGGTGTGACCGCATAGACATTGACACCAGCATCCCACTCCAGAGCAAATCGCCATGTCGCGTCCCCTTTTGTGCAGTTTCCTGTTCCTGAGGCAAAGCGCTTCGCGCATGCTTCTGCAGGTCGACACAAGGCGAGCCATGAGAAGCCCATGCAGAGCCTGCAGATCAAGTCGAACCGAAAATGGCCATGATGTGCCATGATAGCGTTGCCACCGATGCTCAGACGGACTCCTCGTCTACGGCCATGCACAAGCTGGCGAGCATGTCAAGCTGCCGCGATTGGTAGTTGGCCGAGCTGATATTGGCCACTTTAGGCAGCCACTCGTGACTGCTCTCTGTTTCTAAAACAGGTTACTTTAGGGGCTTGTTAAGTTGAAACGCAACGCAGAGGTTTCGCGCTGTGGGTGGGTGGCCAATGCAAGCTTGTCTCCCCTTGTCTTGTCTCTCTTTGTGTCAGCGATTGCTTTTTCTTGTCTACCTTCATTCGAGATGGACATTTGACGCTTGTTGATATCGTAGCTCTTGTTTTCGAAAGCACCGCGCAATGACTTAGGACATCGCTAGTTGGTTTACATGCCTTCGCCGATTACGGTGCTGAGCAAAAGTGTCAAACACAGGGCAGACACTGTTGGGAATGCCGAAAACAAGCCTAGGAGCACGTTTGAAGTAAATGACATGAGAATGCACAGGAAAATCGACCCGGCAGCAATCAGCTGGATAAAACAGCGTACAAGTGCCCAGGCTGAATATTCAAACTGAATGGTGATTGTGGGGATGGGAATCATCTCACTTACACCGAACATAGGAAAGGCCACCCAAAATTGCGTCCCCATGCCGTAGTACAGCAGCATCACACTCACGCCGATGACAGCAAAAGCAAAGCTGCTTGGCCCACGGATTGGACTGATGCTCTCCACAAACAGGATAGTGATGTCAAGAGAGATCGTGAGTAGAAGCACTGGAAAACATAGCAACAATCTCACTGTGCCGGGCAACAACACGAGCATCCGCCGAAAGCAGCCCAAGATCATACTATCAATCCAAGCTATCGTGTCACTCACCCTCCTTGTGCGCGAAATGGTCGAGCATCAATTTGATCTTCAACTTCATCGAGTGCGCATCAAGAGCAGGAAGCTTGAGGTCATGAAGCAGCTTGTTCACATGATCGCCAACCGCACAATCCGCCAACTCGGCTACCCACTCCTTGTGCCATCCGGAAATCCAGAAATGTCAAC